AAAAATAAAGCATAAGAATAAAAATTTTTAAAAAGAAGCTACCCAAAAATTTACCTCTTCACAACTAGCAACACATGGTGTACACCTTTTTCTTGAGCTGAAAACACTAACCCCTTCAATTTAGATTTTGTAAAAGCATACTAAAAATAACCATCTGTATTTTTATTATTACTTATACTATTATACATTTTAAATGAAGGGTGATCTTAAAAGAAGTAAAATAGGATGATGAATGTATTAAACAGTTTCTTTACTTCTCTTAGATTGACCTTCAAGATTTCACTTTTCCTACATACCTAGATGAATTACAAAGGTCTTATCAAATAAATCTACCGAAATTGTTTCACCTATAAAATTTATTCTAGAAATAGAAAAATGAAAAAGGAGCACTTGTTTTCCATTTGACTTATGTTGCATATTTATAAGAGATTGACTTCTTTACTATAAAGACTTAAAATAAATCACAATTTGACTGAAATTTCTCCTCTATGATTTAAATAACAAAATGAAGCAAATTGGAAGATAAAATAAATTTTAAATTCAGAAATATTAATTACAGTGTTACTTTTTACATGTGTCTATTCCTAAAGTGAAGACTCATAATTTCATCCAGCTTCACTTGGATAGTAGCTAGACAGAAGCAAGGAAAATAAATGCATAAAACTGAAATTGTTATACATGTGAGAAAATGCCTAATTTACATGTAAGTATAATCCAGCATATATAAACTATATACATGCATATACAGCGTATATACATATATAATAGTACAATATATATGTATACACACACACATACATGATTGTTATTGCTCCTATTACTTTTAAAAGGCCTATAGTATATTAAACAGGATACTTATATGGTGAAATTAGTGATAGCTATTTATGCTCTGTTCACCTGAAGTTTCATGGTTAAGGATTTTGAGCTAAATATAAGTTATAGCTCAAATAACCTAAAATGGAGTATTCTTTTATTACCATTTCCTCTCATATTGTTTTGACTCCTTACAGTCAGGTGTCACATACTGTGAAGCATCTCATTAGTGTGTTCTTTGTCATGGCCACTTTGCAAAAATGCAACATCTGTTGGCCTACACAACATAACTTCCAAAGGATAGGACTGTATGAACAATTAATTTGCACTAAACTAATCAAAATAATGTGTTTCAGTAGTTAAAGTCCTTATCTTCTGCAATTGCATTATCAATGTTCATAATGCTAAGCACAAATATTATTTTCAAATATCAATGGTTTACAACTAACATTTCTAGGTTAAAAAAACTTTTTAAATTCAGTCATTAAACTTTTTCTTGTGATTTCTCTCTAAACTTTTATTTAAAATATGGTTGTCATCATCATCATCATATTTTTAGTATTTTGCAATTAGATGAAATAATATTGCTTTTAAAATAAAAAACATAAAAGCATCCACATAAATAAAACTATATATGTCAAAACTATTACTGAATCAGACCAATATTTCACTTTCAATCATAGTAAAAGGGACATTACAATACATTTTATTTTAAATATTATTACTAAAATTTATAATAAAATAGCAATGAAATACTAGCAAATATCCACTTGATCTAGGTCTGCTTCATTCGAATTGACCATCACTATGAAGTGAATAGCAATGTGCATTTTTCTCAAAAATAAGCACTTTACTACAGCAAAAAAAAAAATGAAATAAGTTCTAATAGTAGTACCTATAATAATACCCATGGTACTTTAAGAAAATATATCTGGTATTATGAACTAAAGTTAAGTAATTCTAATACACAACAAAAATAAGTGACCTAGCCAAGGGGTAGAAAACTCCATGGATGCAAAAAAAAAAAATATCTTCTTTAATACAAAATTTCATTCTCATATAAATTTATTTTCACTAAATAAATTTATTTCTCACTCAAGGGTAAAATTATTACCTATATTTAAGTCAGTCTTACTTTCTGTATTTAATAAATAAAATGTAAACATTATAATTATCAAGGTATATTGTAATTTAATATGGTTTATGGATACTCATTTCTCAAATGTCAAAAGCACCAGGATCATTAGGGATTGCACTTTAACCTGATTTGTATAATTTACCATGTTACGGATGTGTGCAGTTATTAAGAAAATGATGAATATTGTCAGAAGTACCTAGCTTTGCACTTTGAGTTTTTTATTATGCACATGCTTTCTACTATCCACTAAAATATTTAATTAAGAGGGATGGGGACATGATAAATCACTAGTGTGGAGGGGCTCCATAGGACAGGTTTGAAAACACTTAAAGTTTAGTACTGACTTTCTGTGCCTTTGGGAAGGACTTTAAGTGAAGAAAGAAGAAGTGTTTAAAAAGAATGAGGAAGGTGGATAGCGAAATAACTATGAAAAAGCTGACTTATGGGAAAGTGAAAAGGAAAATAATTTTAAAAGAACAGTAACACCTATTTAACAGTGGGTCTGATTCTCTTGCATAAGCAGCGCTGCATTTCAATATTGTATGTAGAGAAACAGTGAATCCTGCCGGTGGGCTTCTCTTCATCTGAAGTAATTCCTTCCAAAATATACCTCAAATAATGGAGGACAAAAGGTGTAGGTACAATGTGCCCAATGCAAAGTAGCCCTGAAAAATTGCTTTTTTTTATATTGATATACTTGTGTGTTTTATTTTATTTTATGCATACCTATGTTGATATCCATGTATAACTAATCGAAAGATATATAAATATATCATAGACATTTATGGGGCTTTTTTTTAAGTACAATGCCTTAGTTTTATATCAGTTACACAGCTTTAGAAGCTGCTAGTCTTCTTTCGCATGGGAAAAAATGGGATGTAAGGCATCAGTGACTTGTGAATTACATTCAACACATAACGATAATTTCTACTAAAGGGCAGCTTGAGGAAACACTAGCAGAGAACGCGGGGGTCAACGCACAATTCTGCAGCTCAGGGTCTGTGACTCTCTGGAGCTCTGCTGCCCTCTAATGGCGCAATGAGATAAGTGCCTCCCGAGCTCGGTATGGTATTCTTTCTTAAATAACATACTGGCACCTTAAAAATCCGATTTTCTTTGGTTTCGCTCACATGTAAATGGATCATAACTTGGATTATGGTCAGATTAATTTAGAAACATCATTTTTGTGTCATAAAGGATGAAAAACTCATCCAACATCCTTTCTCTCAGTTCAAGCATGACTGGGGCCAGTTGCAGTATGTGGTTGGCAAAACCAGTAGCTAAATATGTGACAACTTTCACAGATAACAGGATTCTGTCAAATTGGCTCCAAGGCCTTAGACATTTTTTTTATTGGGATGTGTGCGTGTGTGTGTAACTTTAGTGCACGTGTTTTTTTTTTTATAAGAATAGCAATTTTTCTTTTCCTTTTTGTCATTTATTCTCTTAAGATGCCTGGATCCTCCTCTTATTTAATTCTATACATCTTAGCAACATGGTTACCTTATTTTTCCCAATTACATCCTGCCTAGGAAAACTGGTGCATCGTTGGGGTACTAAGTTTGAAATATATAATCCAAGAGACAAGAAGCAAATAGTATAAATCAGATTTTTTAAAGTCCCAATTGTATCCTGGTATGGGAAGGGGTGAGAGGGGGGTATAAGATTTATCAACATCACAGTGCATCAAACTTGTTAATAAACTAGCTTTCTGTATAACAAGGAAAAGAAAGATTTTTTTTTTTTAATGTGATCATGAAAGGCATGGCATAGCTGGAATTTAAGGTTCAAGCTTTGTATCCTCTATATATAATGTATTATGTTTTTCAAAAACGTTTTATTAGGAAAGCTATACCGGACGCATAATCACTATACAATGATTAAACATTACCTTTACAATTTATAACTGAAATTACAGAATAAATATATGCACATTTCTTTTGAATCTGTGTGTGAGAGAAAACATTAAAAGTGCTTCCTACAAAGCTGTTAGTGATATATACCAGTTGCTTTTTTGTTTTTTTAATATTATATATATTTATATAAGAAAGTGCAGATGTTCTCCAAAATATCTTGGTATCAGGATGAAGTGTCACAAAGCGGATGCTCATCCCTAGGTGTGCGCCTCGGGCTGGGAAACCACCGGGCCTCCACTGCCCTGGGATCCAGCCTAGAACAGGACTTTTCCTGGGTGGTAGGAAAGATGTTGTGAGCTATACACTAGGGTTGAGGGGAAGGTAGAGCTATGGAGAGGCGGCAAATGGATCAAACCCGAAATAATTACATTGACTTGAATGGTAGTGGTATCTGGGTGTGTGTGTGTGTGTGTGTGTGTGTGTGTGTGTGTGTGTGCCTGTGTACCTGCACCAGAAGCAAGAGGGTGCAGGTGGCAGGTTTAGGGACCCGTGGGCAGGGCGTGGTGATTGGCCTGTGGGTATGTGTGGGAGAGAAAGAAGAGTGGGTGAGAACATTCGAGCAAGACCCGCCCCCTCCCTCCCCGGCTTGCAGTTTCCAGGCATGCAGCAAACTGCATTGGTAATACATGTACAGGATCTGTGCCATGATGGGAAGGGGAAAGAGAGCCACGGATGTTTTTTTGTCTATTAACAATCCACAGCATGTGGCTCCCACTGCTGGGTCTGGGTGCCCTTGGAACAGACCAGGGTTACTGAAAATCAAAAGATACATTGAATTTTACTTCATTAGGATCAATACAACGATCCCCAATATACCTTATACATGGCACAGTCAAAGTCTCAAGTTTCAGTATAAAAAAAATAATGATAACATTTGCTGGCAAAAGTCTGCGAAGGCACTTCATTGATTAATGATCTCCGGATGGCCCTCCCTCCCCATGGCATCGGGGAGGGGGGCGCATACAGCTTGTATTTTCTAGTTTCCATGCGGTGTGGGTTCCGTTCGGGGCAGGAACGTCTGTGAGAATGGATTGATTGGGAACCGTGGAAAGGGAACAGGGGATATAGATTTCTTTCCTTTTCCTTTTCTTTTGGGAAAAAAACAACAAAAACAAAGTAGTAATTTATTTGTATTTTTCTGTTAGAACCTATATGCTGTCTTCTCCAGGACTTCGAGGTAATCCGGCTTGGTTTGAAGTTTGGCCCTTAACTCGAGGTAATCATTTTTGGGGGTTTGGTGGTCTGTGAAGCCCTTTCCGGCCGAGAAGAGAAGGGTTTCTTTCAGCCTGGCATCCTGCTGTAAGTCTGGGTACTGCATGCCAGGGGCGTGGACGTGCAGTTCCTTTAACTTGGGCACCGTGCTGTAGAGGCAGTCCACGAAGCCCACCGTGCAGGGGGCTGGCGGCGGCCTCTCCCGGTCCAGGAGCAGGCTGCCTCCCCCGCAGCCTCCCCCGGGGGGGAACAGCACCACCCCGCCATTCTTCTCGTGGTGGCGGAACCCAGCCAAGTCTGCCCCAGGTCCTGCTACGACCCCCGACACCCCCCCGACGGCTGGGTGGTGGGGGTGCGGGTGGTGATGGTTCCCCGTCACGATGGTGTTGAGCTGGGAGCTGGACACGGCCAGGGCCCACTCCTTCTCCTTCTCCAGCAAGGTCCGGTAGTTGCTGGGGTTCTCCTTGGGGGGCTCGGCAAACTGCTCGCTCCCCAGGAGCACCTCGCCCAGGGCCGGCGGCTGCTGTGTCCCGGGCCCCCCGCGTTCTGCGCTCCCTGCCTCCTGCCCTGATGCCACGGCCGCCGCCTCCTCCTCCTCGCGAGGCTTGTAGATGGGGTTGTTGCAC